GTATGCATGTATGTATGTATGTATGTATGGATGTTTGTAGGTAGGTATGTAGGTATGCAGTTATGTAGGTATGTATGTGTGGTTGTGTGTGTATGTTTGTTTGTATGAATGTATGTATGTATAATGTGTGCATGTATGTATGCATATAGGTATGTACAACTTCTTTTGTAATCGCATTATATAACACTATATAAATATATGGAATATTTTTATCATATTTTCGGGAATATTCTTATAAAAGATCGTGATGTATTTCCCTTTGGACGGACATACCGTTATCATATACTATAATGTACATAAATATATAAATAGTTAGGTATTTTTGTAGTTTTCTTAAATAGTTAGAACCAGCTGTAGGATATTTCTCAGTTCGACTTTCTACGCGCTGCACTTTTCGTCCATTTCTTTGGCATATTTTTTGTTATTTTTTTTGCTGCGCTTTTTGTCAGTTTTCACTTTATTTCCTTGGCGTTTTTCTTTTTTACTCCTCCGTTATGCACTCTTCAAAGTTCTTCAATCACTTCGTGGCAGCAATTTTCATTCGAATTGGAAATATCAGCCAATTGACCCCCCACCCCGCCCACATTTCCGCCCCGTCGCACTGTCCCTTTTGTTGGCACTTTGCGCTGTTTGCGCCGCCGGCCAAAAGATTTTCCCAATTTATTTTATTGCTCGTGTTGCTGTTTGCATTTAGCTTTAAATTAATTCATGCCCCCAAGTATCTTTTGTAGTTGTGTGCAGTTGCCCCTCCCCCCTACCAGCCCCGCCCTCTGGATGCCGACCGTCCAGCAGCTCCTCCTTTGGTCCCCGGTCAGAAATGCCTTTGATGTTGATTGTTGTTGTTGGTCAATCGTTGGCAACCTCAAATGCATTTTTCCTGAAAAGGAGATAAACTGTAATTAAATGAATGTCTGCATAAATATTAGCAAATATCTATTGATTGACATCAATCATGATTGACATGACAATAAGAAAACTTTTGCACATTTTGTTCGCACTGAACGAATCTTGTGAATTGAGACTTGCTTTTGATCGGGTAATTGTGCTGGTTATTTGTTTTTTGTATATTATTTATTTCATTGTACAACAATTTTTATCATCAATCATGATTGACATGCCGAAAGTTTTAAACAATGCACTTCGTTGAGCGAAAAATGAATGTACAAAATTGAGAATGGAAACAAAAGGCTTCGTAATTAATTTAAATATACCGTACAATTTGTTTTTGTATTCGCTTTGCCCAAATTGATTGACATCAATCGTGATTGACATGCAGCGGAATAAAGGGAATGTAACGCATTCAGACTAATTGATCGTGAGTTTTGATCTATTTTTTTTCTTTAAATTAAAGGGAATAATTCCTTTAGGGTTCACTTGAACCAAGCTCAGCTGCAGCTGTTTTTTCTTTGTTCTTTTGAACTGGCTCATTTGAACTGAGCTCAGTTCTAGCTGATTGCTTTCGTCTGATTCGACCTTAACTCAGTTGCAACTGAAGTTGTTTAAATTTTTCATCTATTAATATTAGTTCATCTGAATTAGGCTTAGTTCCAGTTCCAGTTCCAATTTTGTTTGCTTTCGAAACTGATTTAATTTCTATATACTTTATTTGGAATTGCAACTGAAACTCCTGGAATTTTTGTTCATTTGCGCCGATTCACTTGAACTGGTTCATTTGAACCGAGTTCAAATCCAGCTGATTTTAGTGGCTTGATTTTGACTGAACTCAGTTCTAACTGAAGTTGCCTAAATTTCCCATCCATTAGTACTAGTTCATCTGAACCAAGTTCAGTTCCAGTTCCAGTTTCGCTTACAGCTTTTTCTTGCTTTTGAGACTGATTTTCTTTTGATTTCCTGTCTTCTTTATGTTCTTTTCGCTTTGCTTTCGATTTTGATTTAGCTTCTGATCTGCTTCTTCTGCTCTGCATATTCGCAGCCAGCCGAAAGTTCGTTTCCGTTTCCGGTTTCTGCTCACATGACCTTGAGTCGCAGTTGCCTGTTGCCGCTCGACCACGCCTCCAATGCGCCCAGCAGCTCATTTCGAAGCGACAGACAGGCAAATGTTTTATGACCCCTTCCCCCCTTTCCCCCCGCCCCCCCTTCCGGGTGAAAGGCCAAAAGTTGGCAAGGTCAAAGCCCAAATTGCGCTCATTTTCAGATCCATTTGAACAGGCCAAAAAGTTGTTTCGGTTGTTGCTCGACTGCGTGGCCTGCATTTAAAATATGTTCATTACAAAATGTTTGCCCCTTTACACACACACACACACACACTCCAACACACACACACACACCCAAGAGAACCTTTAGCTGTTGGTTGCGCCTTTTGGCCTGGCACAACAATTTGTGTGTATGTTTTTTTTTTTGGCATTTTATTAGTAAATTTATTTTGCAATCACACACACACACACACACACACACACACACACTCGCACACACACAACTGTCCAAGCTACAACCCCGCCCTCTCCCCTCCCCCCTGCTCTATCTGTTTCTGCGTGGGCATAGCTGGGAAAAACTATTTCCGGCATTAAATTGTCTCTCGGCTCCCTCGACATTAACCAATACAAGCCCCTGCCCTGCACCCCCCCCCCCCCCCCCCCCCACCCCCGCCCTGGCTCAACCTCTCAACCCCTTGCAGAGGGGTTTGTGCTCCTGTTTGGACCATTTAAATGCTTTTTGCATTTACATCCACACACACACACACACACACACGCACACACACTCAAATATGTACATAGTTTAGTTGCATTTCGTTGGAGGGTGTGTGTGTGTGTGCGTGTGTGCGTGTGTGTGTGTGTGTATCGTCAATTGAGTGCTCTGATTTCTGTAGCTGATTTCATTTCGAATCGAAATTGAAATTGGAACAGTTTTTCGTTGGAAATTTAGTTGCTCGCCTTTTCATCAGTTTCGATTGACACACACACACACACACACACACACACACACCTGCCCACACACACGTGTGAAAGCTTGTGCTTGTTGCCGTGCATACCCTGTAAACATGCATGAGAGCACACGACAGCTTTGTCGCCTGAGACCTCTTCAAAAGCTGTAAGCTGAGCAATTAAACGACTCAATGCAAGCAAATTTGGGATGTATGTGCTACTAAATACCCTGGAGTTTTGAAACTTTACACATTTTTTCTCTAGTTCAGCCTTAGAGTTATTCAACACGCCCCTAAATATAGTTTAGTGAATAATTTGCTATATTATATACCCTAGTTTTTGTACGTTCATTCTGTTTTTGATTGAGCTTTAGCTGTTCACTTGTGTATAAGTGTATAATTTATGTGCGCCACAGGCGAGAGCCTTCATAACTCTTTATAGGGTATTTAACGAGTCACTACTCATAGCTTTTAGAACGGAGTGTAAACTGAGTGCGTGCTTATTAATAGCTTACAGTCCTAAAACCTTTTTACAGGGTATCCTATAATCAAAACACATTGACAAGCAACTTTTAGCTAGTTCTAGCTAGATTAGACTAAGCAAAAAATGTTAGATATATTAACAGATACTTATAAAAATAAGAGCAACTTTTTACAGGGTATCTTTTAGTCGCACACAAACAGAGGATCATCATTTAATATCTGACCCATTTCTATTGGCTGCAGCTGAATTACTTTGTCAAAGATCTGTGAAAAAATATTTTCTCCAGGGTATCTTACAGTTTGGCAGCATTGATTTTAAGCCAAGTTACGCCCAAGCAAAGCTAGCTTAAAAAATGGAAAGTATTCAAATACTGGACCTCAAGTATTTTTTAATTTCTACAAAAAGACACTTATTACAGGGTATCTGGCTAGTCTAAGACTAATAGGAAATGGCCTTATATTCGGTTTTCGCTTTCGGTTTTTATATTTTCTTATCTCGCAGCGTACATCTTAGACCCTGAGCGCGCAACCTTTTGATAAAGTTCATGAAAAATGCGACGGGCTATGGAAAATGCATAATTTATTCCCAGATTTTCAGAGGCGGAGTGTGTGTGCGGGTGTGTGTGCGGGTGTGTGTGTGGGCGTGTGTGTGTGCGGGTGTGTCTCTATATCGTGTATTGGTTAAATCGTGATGTTGTAATTGACCATTTTTATGGCCAGCTTGTCAGATAATTGCTTTTGGCTTAGAGGGGACGCTCGTTGGTCTGCGTTGGTGGAAGGGGCGATGCGGGGAGAGGGAGGGGTTTGATTGTGCGCGTTGGTTCGAATTGCGTTTTGTTGTTAATTTGCTTGCCACGCACGTGCCGAGCGCATTGTTCATGGGATTTACAAAAGAATAATGTTCTGTTTTTGCGTGCCACAAAGTACACACACACACACACACTCACACACACACACGCACAACAATCGCACTTGCAGCTGCAGCTCCTTTTGGGCGTGGGTGGACGCATTACATCATTCGTTGGCGCAAAACTCACTTGTATAAGAAATGATGGTACAGTTCCGCTTTTTTGCACTGCAATTTCGTGCAGTTTCAGCTAATCGATATTGTTATCGAGATCGTTATCGTTATCGATATTGTTATCGTTGCTGCAGTTGCTGCTGTTGCTTATAAACTTGGCTACTTTGTCGTGTAGCTCAGTTTGGTTTTGGTTTGCTGCTAAAAATAGTTATCGATATCAATATTGTTATCGATTTTCGGATACTTTGTGGTTATCGTTGCAGCTGTTGTAGTTGCTGCTTAGCAACAGTTGCCGTAAGCAGAAACTCAAGTGAAATGCAGCTCGATTATTTCCAATCGCTTTTAGTAATCGACAATTATATCGATAAGCATTGTTATCGTTATCGTTGCCCTTGTTGCTGTTCTTACGGCTATGCCTGCTGCTGTTGCGGCAAAAACTTACTTAATCTAGAATCCAGTTTAATTTCAGCTAGTACTCGCTATCGATATCGATATCGTTGTCGTGCTCGTTCTCGTTCTCGTTATCGTTATCGCTTTTGTTGTTGCCGCTGTGCTCGCGTCGCCATTGCTCCAAAATGCGTTTCTTCTGATTGAACCAATGTCGCGGACGCAAACCCGCAGCTGCTGTCGATTGACCAGGTTCCTCTTGTACACGCTCCCTTTCCCGCTCCCGCTCCCGCTCCCGTTCCCGTTCCCTTTCCCTGAGCCTCTTGGGCTGCATGCTGCTGGCCTCCAAGTGTTCCTGCTGCTGTCGCTGCTTTTTGTCATGCTTGGAACGCTTTTTGGCTTTCTTGGCCTTCTTCGACTTGGATTTGTGCTTGTGGCGATGCTTGCGCTCCTGCTGCTCGCTCGACTCGGCCTCGTTTAGCACAGGCATGCTGGGCAGTTGTTGCGTGTCTGCCTGCCCATTTTGCGCCTGCGATTCCGCCATATCCAGCTCCATCTTCTCAACCATTTGGCCCAGCGCCTGCGCCTCCATTTGCATCTCCATGCGCTGATTGCGTTTCTGGACACGTTTGGCAACATCTGTGGCATCCACCCAGTTCTCCGTTGTTGTTGCTGCTGTTGCTGTTGCTGTTGCTCGCCTCGAATTGTATCTCTCCATTTGCTGCTTTGCTTCTGTGTGTGGCTCAAACGCGTGTGTTGACGCGTTCTGAACGCGCCCAGAACTGTCTAGCCCGGGCTTGGTACGGAGCTGCTCAGCTGTCAGACGCTCGGGGCTGGCCCGCTCTCGCCGCAGCTGCCGCTCGGTTCTAGCGAGCGAGTCTGCCGCCCTCTTTAGCTGATTCATCGACACCCCACGCCGGACTCGATACGTCGAATGCAAGCGAAAACCATTTGATGATATTCGCCCAGTTGTCATACCCTGCACGCGCTGAGAATGGGCATATTGTTTTGCTGCAAGCCTATGTAGCAGGCAGTAGGAGACTTCTTTGAACCAAGAGAGTAAATACATATCAGCTGAGCTAGTTTCTCATAAATCACCTATTCGATAACTGCTTCATTCCATCAAAATCGATAAATATCGATTATGTGCTTCTGCTTCTGTAAAGCATAACTCTGAGAACTAAAGGAATGGAGACTCTTTTGGCTTGTATTATCTCTTATATCATGCTCAAAATAATAGTAGCTTTTCGATAACTGTAACCATGTTACTCAAAATCGATAAATATCGGATTTTAGCCTTTGTTTTTACTGGGTATCTGGCAATCGTGCACTCGCAACTGGAGCACGCTCAGTTGTTGTTTTCATTTTATTGAATCTGCAAAAATTTGCAAAACAAAAACATTTCAAGTCGAAGAATTCGTTAGAAACTTGTCGCATTCCCATCAAAACTGTCTGTCGACTGTGTCTGTGACAAAGAAGCAAAGGAAACTCAACATTCTGCAATTGTCCAGTGCATTGCGCGCAACGCGGGCCCAAAAGCTAGAAAATGCTTAAGGCAAATGCCTTAACTCAGCCTTTAAAGTGAACATGGAGGTGTGTGTTTCTCAAGTGGAAAAAGTTACCAAAAGCAAACGCATATAAGCTAAGGCTTAGGCCTTAAACGGGCTACGGCTCAAGTCAAGTAATCGACATGCCATTGACGAATCAAAGTGGACTCTACTGTAGAAAAAGTGACCATGGAGGACTCGCAAAGGCCATAGAATACCCAAACAGCGAAGTTAAGTATTCTTGCAGTCCAATTTTGCATCAGTTAAGTGAAAGCCAAGCTAAAAGTAGCCACAAAAGAAGTTGACTTTGCAAAAAAGTGACCATGGAGGACCTGTGAATACAATTGGAAGTCCAAGCTGCTTAAATGTTCAGGCAGAAGCTTGAGAAAAGCTGATTTCGTTCGAGTTCAGTGCTAAAATAAACAATTTGTGACTGGAAAAGTGCTTTGCTTGAAAAAAGTGAACATGGAGGACGTTAAAAGTATGCCTGACAACAATAATCAATAAGAGCTGGCGCTTGATATACAAGGAATCAGAAATTATAAGTGAAAACAATCAGAAAGAGTAGCTTTAAAAGAACTTAAAGCCAAACATGTGAACATGGAGGACACGTTTGCGTTGAATAAATGTATAAATGCGTCTAAAGTTGGCATGGAAAAACTTCTTAGCCCGACTCTGTCTTAACTTTGTCATTAAATTAGGTAAAAGCAATAGCAAACACGACTAAAAAGTGACCATGGAGAATTAGGAAGTGTTAGTAAAGCCTTCAAATGCAACAAAAGTAAACACGAAGAGCATGTGGAACTAAAATAAAAAGCAATTCGAAATGGGAAACACTTAACCAATACACCTGGAGAATGCGATAAAGTGACCATGGAGAACAAACAAAAAAACAGCTTAACTCACATAAAGTGACCATGGAGAACCTACCAAAATATAAACCTCATAAGCCTATTACACTCAGGACGCATTTCATTCCATTGCAGTAATTGCTGGCGCCCAACGTGAACCTGGAGGCGAGGCTCGAACAGTCGGTTTTTTGCTAAGAAAAGTGCGAAGAAATTTGTAAATTTTGCCCAACCAAAAATTGGACAACAATTAAATGTTCTCGGTGCAATGGTGCAGGGGCGTGCAGGGGCGTGGCACTGCCAGGTATTACGCTCAGGCAAAGCTCTCGAGTTTCGACCAAAAGGCATTGAACTGGCGGCGAGCTCTTGAGGCAATAAACAAACAAAAAATGCATACGAAAAATATAACTGGGGGCCGTATTGTATCTACATATAAGAACTTATCACACATACGCACACCCTGTCTGGAAGTTGTTTATTGAATTCCTGTTGAAGAAAATGCCGGCGGCTTTTGACATTGTGTTATACCCTGGAAATGAAGCGGCGTGCACAGAAAGGCATTACGAAGGCCGTGAAAATGGTAGTGGAAAAGGATTAAAGATTCAGCCTGAAAGAGAGAAACTTAAAGGAAGTGTGTGTAGTGTAAAGGCTCGCTTCCTTGGAAGAACTATGCCAATCTATCCAAATAGAAAGTGAGAGCTCTTTAGACAGCTGAGCTACCCTAGTGCTGCCCACTTTTTAGTACTCTGGTTAGCCGAGAGCAAGAGCTGACACAGCCAAACCAAAATAGTCGCTCGACATTGACAGAGAAAAGGAATCGAATAGCTAAAGCTTCAATCTAGGCAACAATTGTATCATAAAGGGCAAACTTAGAGCAACATTTGTTGCCTACAGGGTATGTGCGCGTCGAGTGCTTTTTTTTAATTTGAGTTGAGTTTTGTTTATTGTTTTGCGTGTTTCTAGAGAAAAGCTAACGAATGCTTGTTCCAAATGAAATGTAGACAATCAACTGGAGCCAGACACATGAGGAGCAGGGCCTGCTACTAGACACTGGCTAGGAGTAGGGGCAGGGGGTAGGGGTAGGGGACAGAGGCCCGCTTCTTAGCCGGTAATACAATTCTGGCCATAAGTGAGCAAATCAAGCTGAAACTTGAGCTGCAGCTGAAAGCTGTAGGCGGCGAGCCTCAAGTCGAGCCGGGCCCGAGCCGGTGCCGGAGCTCGATCAGGTGTGAGCTGTTCAAGGCAAACATCTTGAGAGCCGAGCCAAGCCGAGCCGTGCCGCCAGGCTTTTCACCTAAAGTTATTAAATTCCGGCAAAGCGATTAAAAACAACACGGCGTAATTTGAGGATGGGCGGACCGTGCGGCCTGCGCGTGAAATGTGCGTAAAAACAAATATTATTTAAGAGCTGGCAAAAAGTGAAAATGAAATTTGACAGGAACCGACACGAGGCACACGCTTCCTGCGGCCCGAGTCGCCGAGTCAACTCAGCTTGACGTGTGCCAAACGCTTTCCCCGTGGGTGGGGGGAAAGGCGAAAATAGCTTGGGAGGTAGCGCGGAGGTTGCGGGTCGCGGCAAAACCGTCGAAATCCAGCTGGGAGCCAACTGGCTGTCACCAGGCCGGCGTCATCATTTGTATTGCCCTCGGGCCGGGACAATGTGGAACGAAATACGTGATGAGCTTTGCAGCGCATAGCCAAGGGAACGCTATGGAAAGTGAAACAAACACAGCTTATGAATACATAAAACAAATGATAAACAAATTACGAAAACCTTATGCCTTAGCCGGCAGAAGAAGTACCCTGTGTAAAAGGAACACTATGGGAAATGGAACAGCGGAACAATGGCAGAGGAAACAATAAAGAACTGATATTAAATAAACTGAGTATGATTATAATTGTATGGAAGTGCTTTGGAATTGGAACATTGTGTCTTCCAGGATGTGAACGTCATGGGAACATAATGGAAATGGAACAGTTACAATTTAAATCGAATTGCATTTTTTTATTTTAATTGTTTCATAATTTAATTCATCTTGCACTCAACATGAATCAGTTATTTTTGGGAGCTCAAGAAATTGGAACAATGGAAAGCGAACATGAAAGAGTTACACAAGGGGAACACACTGGAAACTGTGAAACACTGTAATATCCATAGCAGACACATGTGAACAGCTTGCGATACCCGGATAAAGTCACCATAGGAACGATTGGAATTGAAACACCATTTGAGCTGCAATCGGGCTCAAAATTCGTTTAGCAAAAATGTTCTAATGAAATCGTATGGAATAGTACGCAGTGGGAAACATTCCAGGGTATTACTAGGGTATACAAACAACGCTTAACAACATTTGTTGTGTGTGTGCGTGTGCGTGTGTCGGCATTCCCCTGAGGACGAATTTGGGTATGTGAGGCCCGTTGAGTAGCTTAGCTTGGAAATGTCACAACTGATTCAAAGCGTGCGCGAATGAGCGCGAGGACCAGAGGATTCACGATTGGGAACTTGAGGCTTGAGAGACGGGCCCCGATTAGTTGTGTGGCAGTTGTTGGCAGCACATTGTCCCTTGGGACAAAAAAAAAAATAAAGCTCCGACGAAAAAAAAAAACAAACAAAGAAAATTACAATTTTGCGAATTGGAATACTTTGGTTTAGTTTTGTTACGTTGCGTGTGGAGCGAGGCAGAGTCGGACAGGGGGCTGGCTGGGGTCTGTGCTAATCGTATAGTGACCATATCTGAAATGTCGGCAATGCCATCTGACAACTGTCAACGGGGGAACAGCTTAAAGCTTTAAGCTTAAAGCCGCTGGCCACGAGCTGTGAGCTTAACGCGCGCCTCTCTACGCGCTTCTCATGCCAGGCCCAAAAAGCAACTTGTAAACAAAATTTATCACTGCCAATTTTTTGCGTTTCTTTTCCCGTTTTTTGTTGCACAAAACAAATAAGAAGACGACAAGCGACAACACGACAAAAGCGGCAGCTGCTTTCAAGTGGATTAAAAAGCAGAGCAGAGGGAGGCAACGCTGGCGAGGGGGCGTGTGTGTGTGTATGGAGCACAGGGTGTACGCCAGGTAACAGCAGCAGGAGCAGCTCTTAACTAATTAGCAAGGCTTTGCTTTTCATTTATTAAGGCGCATTAGCGAATCCTGTTTCCCCCATTTGCTGCGGTCATTTGCCCAAAAATAATGTCTCCCTGCTTCCCCAGCTTCAGTGTGTCGTAGGACACCATTCGACTGATAAATGTGAAAAACATTTGGTATGCCTGTTGTGTGTGTTTATTTAATATTCCCATGGAGACGACTTGCGGGCGCCTACTTTCCAAATATGCACTGAAATCGACAAAAAATTTAATTGAAATCAAGCCAAAAGAAGAAAGAAGAAGAACAAATACCCTTGTCCTGGAATCATAGTTGGGAACTATGTGATATTAGTGGAGCCAATGTCAACGAGATGTTGCAGCTATTTTAGCTAATGATACTGATTGTAGAGCCAGAAAACTGGGCATAAGAGA